ACAAAGATCTGCTTGTGGATTCAGAGATCTTTAGCACAGTTGATTTTGGAAAGTGGTGAAAATAGTTCTTTGAAGTGCCAAAAGTTCATGTTTGTATCCAGAAAAAGGTGGCTGAGATGGAAAAGGTGGTCCTTTTGCTGTCATTGTAACATTGTCTGTGAGGGCTTCTTTAAAAAAAAATCTGATTTAGGCCATTTTTCAGTCATGGTAGACTTTAAGGAAACCAAACCAAAAATGGATGCTTGATGACAGTGCCTAGCTGAAGTGACATTTTAATTAGCTGGTTGATCTACATTTATTCATCAGTCTCTAGTCTTCTGGGATATCCTAGGAAACCCAAAGAACCCACTGCAAGGTGCATTAACTTAATGACTCATCAAAATAATAGAGACAGCAAATTGGGATGAGTATAAAAAAGAAGCAGACACGGAAACTGAAGCAGTGAGGTTGCCAAAGAAAAAGTACTGGTTTAATTGTTGCCTTTTTGCTCATAACTCCAAAGTGAAAAATTTCTCTTGGTAAACTAAAGTCAGGTGAACTCACCTATCTGAAAAAGTGCTCTTGAAAGGCCAAAATGAATGCCAAGCATGTGCATAGTGTTCCTGTTATCAAGTGCTTTCCTGAACTGGGACCCATGATTTTAAACATTCCAACTATTCTAAATATTCCCTATTTCAAATATAAGAAGTGAATCAGAAGGGACTGCAGGGCTTTGCAGCAGCACTGCTCAGGCGGCCGTGAGAGCTCTGAGGGAAGAAAAGGAATCCCAGTAATTGCGATACCTGCAAGAGAGGGAGAACAAGCTGTGAGGGGGGAAAGAAAATTTTGTATGCCAGTGTCCCAACTAAAGCTAGGCTTCTCTTCAGTTTGTACAATACACTTGAATTCAATGACACTGTCATACTTGAAATGGATTATAATGTCCCAAATGTGTTTTTGGAGTCTGTTACTCACTGAATGTGAATACCAAAAAAATAACCTGGTTTTATGTTTTTGTGGTTTTACCCAGAACAGTCCAGCTGGGTTGCGAGAATTTTTTTTTTTTTTTCAAATTGCGTTTAAAAAAGCAAATACACTTTTCAGTCATATGAAATGAAAATGTTCCAGCCTATATAACTCCTACTGCCTACTTTCAAAAAATTCCCTTGTTCTGAAGTCAGTTCAGTGACTATTAGAAGTAGTCACTGATGTAAATTCCATCTTGTTTATGAAAACATTTTGAACAAAGCATTTATTGTCCAGGGTTCATAAAAAAAGTTAAAACCTATAAAATGTTGGCATCACTACTATTTGGGGCATGAGAATGACATGCATATAAATTGTAGTTTATTGGAACAGTCTTTTATACAGAGAAAGACAGCTTTGCTGAAAATGGAATTCATTGATGTGCTGTAATTCCCCTCTTTTATAGATCTGTTTTTAAAGTATTCTGAATCAAGAAAAAATCTGAAGCAAATCTTAGTCTACAGTAGGGATCAGGGGCACAAGAAGCCTTTTATTACATGAGTTAGCTATGGTAGAGGGGCAGAGTTTGGTGAAATCCGGGTGGATGAAAGACTGGTTTGAAGCTTTGGTGGGGAATGTCGTTAGCTGATGACCCTCCATGAAATCTCAGCCACATCTCTATTAGCCCTGGGGACAGTAATCTGTTGCTCCATTTTGTAGAAAAGAGTCCTACTACCACCATTTCGGAGAGGTAACAGTTTGCTAAGGGCTTTCACAGGAGGATTCTGTCCCTTCCAACCCATCATAAGGTGGGTGAAAGAAGCCTTTTATGCTGACAGGTTTTCCTTTTAACAGCAGGGAATTCTTCTGGTGATATTTTGGCAAACCTTGACCCACAGCCCCTCTAGCAAGGTCAAGTAATAACCTGCCAATACTTGGCCAAGTATGCAAAGCCACCCTTGCGCCTCATACACAAGCTTTGCTTGATCAACGGCTGGTGATAAATAAGAGACTTCTTTTCTGGTCCAGGCCCAGATGAAGTGTCATCCATGCCAGGTCTATCTCTCTACATCCACACTGAACAAGGATTGTCAGTGTCATCTGTTGCTTTAAAATGGCATCCTGATGGGAAATAAATGTTCAGGTCTCACTGAGGGAAGTGATCTAATTCTCCTGGATTTTATGAGTAGCCCAGTCTTAACAACAGGAAGATTTTGAAGGTGCTGGTTACCTAATCATTCTAAGAATCTTTTGTTCAAAACATCTGGTTAAAAGCTTCACCTCTTTTAGAACCTGTAGGATAGAGGCAGTACCCTAGACTCAAAGAAGAATGTGCCGCTGGCTAGTGAAAAATCAGTGGTACAAACTATACAGGACCGTTCAAGTCTAGAGAACAGAGCTCCCCATACTTGCATTGCTCCAGTTCTAGACAGCTATAATGTCACTGAAGTTACACCACAGTAAAACAAGAGAAACAGCAGTGAACCAGCTCAAGAATTCTTTCCCTTTTCTTTTGCAGTAGTAAAATTATTGGCAGCCACCAGGGATCAGTGGTGTAATTAGTCTTGAAGTGCTGAAGAGCAAACGCGCAGGCAGTCCAAGCAACATTCTCTTAAGTCATTCTACTGGACTTCAGTGTTTCTGGGTGGGATTCTCCCAAGTGAAAAATACAGCAATGCTACAAGGCTACGTCCTTACTATTTCTTGGAATTTTAGTAACAGCCATAAAATTCCTTCTTGGCACCTGAATGTTTAAAAGCACTAAGCAAATTAAACAATCAAGCCTCAGTCCTGCAGCTCTTTCCCTCATATGATGCTTATTAAAATACATGTGGTGAAGAGCTTCATGAATGGATTCCAGAATTTTCAAGCAGAAATGCCTCAAATCAGGTTCGTAAATCCACATCCAATTTTTTTTAGTAAGGTTATGCTCATTTTCCAATTTTCTGGAACTTCTGAAAATTTCAACTGCTAGAAAAAAAAAAATCAATCCAATTTATGAAGGTCTTTAATCTGAAATAGGGTCCGCATTAAGACCATTTTCTAGAGTTGCCCATTGTAGGCGTCAGGACTAGTCCTGTGAAGGCTAAAGGAGGCATGGTGTGGCAGCCCTGATGTTTTCTGAGTTGATCCTAGTTCTCTGGAGCTAAAATACCACAGGAGAGCTGATTAAGATGATGTACATATGGCTAACGAGGATGCCTTCTATCAAGTTTGGAAACTTGGCCCATAGACTGACATTGAATATTCCCACTGGAAGCACACTATTTCCATTTGTCTTAACAAAGAGGTCCATCGCTGACCACGTGGCATCACTCTTTCAAAACCCTGCCTGTACTAGATAATTTCATCTTTAAAAAATTCAAGGAGAAAATAAATGTAAGCGACCAGAAAACTGTGAAGAAAGTCTAGCAAAATCAGAGCCATTTTAACAAAAGCTTGGCGACTTGTGTATGCTAGAGTGATTGCATACATGCATGAGCTGTGCCAGCTTGTCTGCACATACAGCATGTAATATCCACATCCAGACATGTTGTGTTCCAGCCCAAGGATTCTTCATTTAAAATAGGCAATGAATGAGTTGCATAGTTCTGCTTGTGATGGTCTTCTCTAGTGTTTGAGCACATTTTAAAGCCAGAGGATCTGTTTCGGAGAGCCAAAATTATGTATGCTAATGGCAGTTGCAGAACTGGGTGTAAGAGAGCTAGACAGACTGATGGCTTGGAAAAAATGGAGCATGGAGACAGGAAAGAGCCATAGTTATCAGGACAAGGACTTGTGCATGAATTAGAATAGCCTGTGCATCAGGGAATGTGTCGTTCAGTCACACTGTCCTACTGGCTAAGCCTGCATCTCTGAAAATTATGATCTTTTAATGTTTTTTCATTCTTTAGTGCCCAATTTAAGGGCAACAGAATCATACTTTCAAAAAAACTCATCTCCTTCATCTCACCTCTTTCTGTCCTCAATACTTTAAAAAAAAAAAAAACCAACAAAAAACAAGAAAGCAGAGGCTTTATTACTACCAAAGCTTCATGATGTTTACCCTCCAGCTTTTGTCTTATGATCTCTGTCAGTGGCAAGGAAGTTTCAAGATGGGGAATTTCAATCAATTTAACATATTGCCAGTTAATGAACTTTTCATTACTTTTTCTGATATTTTAAAAAAATAAAACCTCTTAGGGAAAAAGCTCCCCTCCATACACTTCTCCTCCCCTCTTTCTGGTCTCCTATCTCCTCACTGTGGGCTACTTAGGGAGGTGAGGGCTGGTGCGGGAGACAGGGGTCAGCAGATAGCGGCTGGTTTTCTTTTCTCATTCTTTGCTCCATGCTCAGTTGCAACAGGGTTGCTTCCTCCACTACCTGCCAACCCATCAGAGTTGAGCCTCCTCCTCTCTGCCCTCGCTCAGGCAGCTTTTCTTTCTCCAGCCACTACTTGAGGTCCTATTTTGCTCCAGCATTTCTCCTACTCTGCCATCTCTCCTCTCTCCTCCTGCTCTGGTGTGGTCTTCTCTGTTTTTCTCCTCCTCCTCTAGCGGTGTTGTCTCTTTCTCTCAGCATTTATTTTTCTTTTTGAAACACATTCACAGATGTGCAGAAACTCCTCTGATGGATTCAGCATTGCAGGTGGAGTTGTCTGCAAGCGACTGCATTTGGCTCAGGGTGGTCCATGTCCTCCTCCCACAGAGACCACCCCACAGCCACACCTCTGCCAAAACCTTGCCAGTTCTGCCCAATACACACCTTGAGTCCTCCTTGGTCATTAAAAAAAATTAAAAAATCTGGACAGCTTCTAGTTTTACACTTTCTCCATCTGAGGATTTTTTCCTTCACAAAAGCCTTTACATTTCTGAATACAAATATTTCTGGCATCATTGGAAAGATTGGCCTGATGAGATCTGAGATAAGGGATCTAAATGAAAGCGGGCCTTTCTACAGCCAGCCCATGCATGTCCCCTGGGTGTGCTGCTCCGGAGGGCTCCTGGCTTGCAAGCCGGCTGCTCTGTGCCCTGTGTGGCGCCCGCAGACCCCAACAACCTGTATGCTGCTTTCAGGTTCTGGACAGCAGCTAAGACCAGCCGAGCCTCCAGGAGATGCTGATGCTGATGCAGATGCAGAAGACGAAGATTCTGTGAGTATTTTTTAGAGCTGGGATTTTTGGGGGGATGGGGGGTTGGGTTAAAAAGGGATCTGAAATATTTTGTTTATATCTGGATATTACTGGTGATTTTTTTTTTTTTTCCTATTAAAGATATTGTATTTCTGCTTGGGATTCTCCTGCCAGCTCAAAAGTCAGAATGGAGCTTCAATATAAAATGATCTGTTCTTTGCCATGATTCACCAACATAAGTTTAATACCAAGACTTAGCGAACGATGACATGGCCTACCGTAACTTTCCTTTAAAGCTGTAGCTGTTTTAGGTTCCCTGTTGTTTGACTCCAGAAGGAATCATGCCAATTGCTTGTCAGCAGAAATTCCTGCTGGGACTCTTCCATGGTTTTCTTGGTTATAGAGGGCAATAAAGTTTGAAGCCGCAGGATGCAAAGGTTAGGTGTGCAAATAAAGCAGGGGAGGGAATTTTTATTGCCTTTTTCATTTGTTACTAGTTGATGTCTCAGTATTTACAGTCTGTTCAGCCCACAGATGAATACAATATGTAAAGAAAACCAAAATCAGCATACCATTGGTTTTGTCTCTCAGGAGTCTGTTGCTTGTCTTCTTGAGTAACATCTATAAATGAGAATTGTATTTGTTCTTGACCTTAGGAAAGAGTTATTGATTATTCTACATCCACGATTACTAATGAAAGATTTGTACACAGAAGGAGACTATGACTAAGTGTAAAAACTCCTAAAAAAAGGTGTCATTTTAATGGTGGCTGTTCCTTTCCCACCACTCGTTTCTTTTTCACAGGTTAATGAAGTAGCAGTAGAAGACATCCGTCCAAGGCCACAAGGATCCTCTCCAGTTTATGAATATTCCATAGAAGAAGAATATTTAAAGGCAAGACACTGAGTTTTCATGCAGGCATGGCTTTACCAAGTTGATTTGAGATGCTTTAGCTCCTACAAGTATCTAAGAGTCATGTGCCATGTAACAGGACATTACTGCAGCCATATTGTCTTCCTGCCCCCACCAAAATCAGGGCTGGGTTCATTGATGGTTTTATACTGCAGGGAACTTGTTGTTGGCCATGTTCTTGTTTCTTGGCAAAAAATGCATTTGACTTCATTCCTTAAAGGACCTAGGGCAGACAGTGTTAAGAAATCACAATGCTTTTCCTATTAGAATATTTAACTGGCTTGAATTTAACTAATATATATTTCAAAACTACCTCTAGTTCTTGGATATTCAAGGCTAAAGATTTAATAAGTACAGTCATGTTAAGACAAGTAGGCAAAAGTTTGAAATTCATTCTGAAGTCAAATAAATGAAAAAAATGTATGTTCACAAAGATGAAAGCATGAGAAATGTGCTACATAGGTAACACACAGAAAACCTCCTAATGTCGTAATAAAATTGGTCTCGGGTGTTCATTTCATGCAAATTTTTGTGCAATGCAGGGAAGCCCTGGCATTTAATTTACTACTGGGAATAATACAGTTCAATCATTCATATTGTACATTGCACTCACAGATCCCAATTTTGCTCTGTTGCCATTAAAGTCAGCCTCAGTTCTCAGACTAAACCAGGGATTTAACTGATGTAGGACTTCTGTTATACTTTACAACAGCATGACTTCTGAACACTAAATAATTGCAAATTATTTTTCAGCTTCAAGAAGAAAACAAAAAATATTCTACAGACAAATCAAAACAGAGTCGACCACAGGTCAGTCTAAAGCCACTCTAGTTTTAGGCATGTGGCTTGCAAAATAGTAAAGTCTATTACAACACACAGACATGGATGGGTGGGCAGAGGGAAGGACAAATGGGCAAGGAATCACTTTAGACTTGTTTCGACTAGGAAATTCACAAGTTGCCTAGCTGTGGCACAGGCATGAACACTTGTCCTATTTGGGGTCCTTCCATAATTCTGTTTTGCTTTATCTCGTTTGAGTACAGTACAGCATTAGCTCTTAGTCTGACTTTTCTGGCCCATTAACTCTAATTCAGGTGCTTAACATCCTCACAGAAGATACAATCTTTCAGCCCTAAAAGATTCCATATGCTTCGTGTTTTAGAATTATAAACTATTTTCCCTATGGTCCCGATCCAGCATAACCCTAACACATGTGCTTAATTCTAATTTTTAGCAGAATCAAACCCACACTGAATAGGTACATTCACTATTTTAGATAATCTTTCCTGAGCTACTGAAAATATACCTGAGGAGACTCAATTTTTTATAGTAGAATAATGTAGAACACTTTGATACAAATGAATAAAAATTATAAATTCACACCTTTTTCTGTATCTAGGAAACAATGGAAGTGACCCTGAAAACAGACGTGGAAGCTGGTGCTAGTGGGTTTAGTGTGATGGGTGGAGGAAATGAAGGAATATTTATTAAAAAAGTACTTAAGGAATCTCCTGCTTCAAAAATATTTAGTCTGAAAGAAGGTACGGTCTAATTTTCTGTTTTGGTTTGTTGGGGGTGGGGGGGATGTTATATCTTAAAATAATCAGGTATGTAGCTGTGTGTGTGTACAGATACCTAGGTGATCAGTCATCCCTTTAGGTAATAGAAACAGTAGATCCCAAACCAACCAATGTTATGTGTCAGCTTAACCTTCTCATACTAATTTCAGAGATCATTATCTTAAACAATAATAAAATGTGATTTTTTGTATACCTTGAAAAAAAAAAAAGTGTAATTTTCACTGGAACAGTGAACAAGTAAGTAGTATGTACACAACCAAAATGAAAAAAACCCCAGCTCATAACATTCATGAAGAAGCTGCCTTTGATTCTTTCACAAAATAGTATGCCACAAAAATACAATAAATAATGATTTAAACAAGAACAAAAGTCCAAAGTCTAAATACTGAGAAATGTAAGAAAAACTTTGTTACTGACAGGGTGGTCAGACACTGAAACAGGTTTTGCAGAGAGGTTGTGGAGTCGCCATCCTTAGAAATCTTCAAAACCTGACTGCACACAGACCAGAGCAACCAGCTGCAGATGACCCTTCCCTGAGCAGGGCGACTGGAGTAGATAATCTTCTGAGGTCCTTTCCAGCCTTAACTATTTTGTGATTCTATTATGTGAACATAATTTCATATTTTAAATAAATAGAATAAATAGGATGTGATTTTTTTTTTGGTGGCCATTAATTCAACAGAATTTGAAACAAATGTCAGAAAAGACAAACAAAATTATGTCTGATTCCACTTGCAGGTGATCAGCTTCTAAGTGCTACAATATTTTTTGATAATATCAAATATGAAGATGCACTCAAGATTCTCCAATATTCCGAGCCATACAGAGTCCAGTTCAGCCTGAAAAGAAAAGTTGCTGGGAAAGAAGAGCTAGAACACATTCACTCTACAATCCAGTACAAAAAGGAAAGAATAAACCAGGTAGATATTTGATTAATTTGCAAAGTTTGTAGTAATGTTCTCTGTGGAAATAGACCAGAAAATACATGCTTGCATCTTCTTAAGACTTAGTCATGAAAAACAATTTCTAGTGAGTCTGCATTTTTTTCTTGTGTCCGCCAATAGAACAGGCTCAGATAACATCTGTAATATTTATATTATTTTCCAAAATGTAAAATATCAGTAACTATTTTTCTCAAAAGCTCATCAATGAAATTTTCTCTTTAAAAAAAAAGTGTTTAGTGACTGATATCTCCATAAACATGATATGCTTATTGGTCTCCATCACATTCAAAATTATTTCTCTCTTCATATATATATTTTATATATATATGTTTGTACAGCCATATGTAGAGAGACATATAGAAACCTCTATTTACTGCAATGTTTTGCAAAGAACATAAACCTTCAGAAATCCACATATTACTGTCAGAATCCATTTGGTTTGTGTAATTTCTACCTGCATTACATACACTATTTTCAGGAATTTTTGATATAACAAATAGATACTGTGAATTAAAAGCACATTTTCCTATACATTTTACAGTATTTTGTTTAGTGTTGCATCTATATTTAGTTTATTTTAATTTTCTGACTACTCTTTGTTGTTTCAGGAAAAAGAACTCAGCGAGAGCATTCCTGAAGAAACAGTACATGTTTCGGGAAAAGCCATTTCAGAAGAAGACAGGGAAACGTTAATTGTAAGCCAAAGGGTAGGAAGAAGCAAGAGACCTAAAAAAGACAGGTTATCATGGCCAAAATTCCAGTCAATTAAAAATAAAAAGATACTGGGGCACAGAAGATCTCACAGTACATCAGATGCATATGAGCCTGCTGTGCAGGATATTTCCCCTACAAGCACAGACACAGAGTCTCAATTTCAACAAGAAGTCCGTATCAAAGAAAAAAAAGGAAGCCAAAAGAAACTGAAGTTCCCTAGCATTGGATTCAAAATGCACAGATCCAAACCAGAACCACAAGACAAGCAAAAAAGAGAAATAAAAACTACACTGTTATCTGAAAAAGAAAAAACACATAAAGAAGATATCAGCCTGGAAAATCCTGAAATCCTAACTGTTGAATATACCACATCTCCTGCTTATGAAATTAAAACAGGGGAGGTAGAAGAAAATTTAACAAAAGAGTTAAAAGACATGAAAAATGGCATTCCATCTCACACAAAAAAACGCCCTGAAGTTGAAATAAGCATTAAAAAAGACAAAGAATTGACATCAAAATTTACTGTACCTGAAGTACCAGCTGTAACAACCCAGATAACAAAGCCCAGTTTAGAAACACCTGATCTGAAAGAAAGCCCAACTAAACAAACACAGACCTCATCAAAATCACGAAAAAAGAAACAGAAAGGACCAGGAGAAAAAACAGAAGGAGAAAGTGGAATAAACATAGACATGATGGGACACACAGCACAAGGATCTATACAGGTAAAAGGTCTAGAAATAGGCACTGCTAAAGCAGAATTACACGCAACATCCGACACACTGGAAACAAGAGAAAAAGAAGCAGAAGACACACAAATACTAACAATTCAGAAAACAAAATTTGGGATTTCAATGCCCAAAAGAAAAGCGACAGAGACTGAAAAAGCCAAACCAGGAAGTGACGTTCCACATTCAGTACCAGAAAAAAGAGCTGATACAAGTTCAGAGGATGGCAGCAATTTGGATGTGAAACCTCACATGCCTGATGCAGAATCAGATGTATCTACTTGGAAAATACAAATGCCATCACTCAAAATATCCAAAACGCCTAAAGCTGACGTGAAAATTCCAAGAGAAGAAAGCACAGTTGAATCAGTAGATACTACAAAAAAGCCAGAGACAGAGGAAGATGGTATGCCCACAGCTGATAAAACATTGAAGATGGACATCAGCATGAAGACAGGAGAAAAAGATATAGAGGGAAAAGAAAGCAAATTCAGACTGCCAAAGTTTAAATTACCTACATTTACTTGGGCAACTACAAAGGAGGAGACAGGGCAAACAGAAGGTACATTCAGTGACAGGGAAGGAAAACTCACAGAAGCAGGTGCAAAACCAGAGATGAGTGTATCAGCAGAAGAAATGAAGATTCCAAGTGCTGAAATTAAAATCGGAATTTCCAAAGGAAAAACAAGTGACAAGGATATAGGACAAATGCCAGAAGTCCAGATACCAAGTCTGAAAGACCTGACTGAGAAAACTTCGAAGAGGAAGATAAATTTGGAAGACAAAGTTGGAGAAATACTGATTACAAAACCTGAAACTGAAATAACTAACAGTGAACACAGTACAGCATCAAAGAACACAGAGGAATTATCTCAAAATAAACAAATTGATATCAAAGCTCCCAAGGTGGACATCAGCCTCCCCTCCATCGATGTCACCCTTCCAAAGACAAGCGTTGACCTGCAGGCGCCCGAGGCGGCCCTCACTGTGGAAGGGGAAGCCAAAGCCCCCGAGAAGGAGGCTACAAAGACCAAGGACAACAAGTTCAAGATGCCCAAGTTCGGCATGCCTTCCTTTGGCTGGTCCAGCAGCAAAGAGGCCAAGAGCACCGTGGCCGCTGACATGGACGTCAGCCTGAAGGAGCCCCAAGTGACAGTGCCCTCGGGAACCGCCGAAGTCAATGTGACCCTGCCTGGGGCCGAGATCCAAGCACCCGACGTGGAGGTGACCGTCGAGACTGCAGCTGCTGGAGATGGTGAGAAAGCTCGATTCAAGAAGCCCGACCTCAAGCTGCCCAAAGTCAAAGCTCCCCAGGTGCAGGTCAGCCTGCCAAAGGCCGAGGTCTCGCTGCCCAAAGCCCAGGCCGAAGTCCAGGAGGTTGAAGTCGCCCTGCAGGGTCCCGAGGCCAAAGGCAGCCTGGAGGTTGCTCCTGGCAAAGTTGAGGGTGGTAGCATGAAAATACACATGCCAAAAGTCAAGGTGCCCAGCGTGGACTCCAAGCCAACCGTCAAGTCTCCCAAAATGGACGCAGACGTCAGCCTGCACAAAGTCGACACCAGACTCCCAGAGGCAGACCTGAAGGCCAGTGCCATCAGCATTGAGGCCCCTGATATCAAGGTGCCTTCCGTTGAAGGCTCCCTTGAGATCCAGGCACCTGACATAGACCTCAAAGTGCCCTCTGCTGAAGGCTCGCTGGACGGGGCCAAGCTGGAAGGCGCCGGCTTGAAGGGGAAGTTGAAGATGCCCAGGTTCGACAAGCCCAAATTTGGATTGTCGCTCCCCAAGGTGGAAGTGCCCGGAGGAGAGGTCAGCCTGCCCTCCGCAGAGGTTGACCTTCCCTCCGCCACCGTGACAGCTGCAGGGGAGGGACCCACCCTTGGACTCAAAGCCGACGTCAAAACTGAAGGGGCCAGCTGGAAGCTGGAGAAGCCCTCCCTCAAAATGCCCAAGGCTGACATCAAAGCTCCCAAGGTGGACATCAGCCTCCCCTCTGTCGATGTCACCCTGCCAAAGGCCAGCGTCGACCTGCAGGTGCCCGAGGCGGCCCTCACGCTGGATGGGGAAGCCAAAGCCCCTGAGAAGGACGCCGCAAAGACCAAGGATGGCAAGTTCAAGATGCCCAAGTTCGGCATGCCTTCCTTTGGCTGGTCCAGCAGCAAAGAGGTCAAGGACACTGTGGCCGCTGATATGGACATCAGCCTGAAGGAGCCCCAAGTGTCGGTGCCCTCGGAAATGACCGAAGTCGACGTGACCCTGCCCAGGGCTGAGATCCATGCACCCGGTGTGGAGGTGATGGCCAAGACGGCCGCCACAGGAGAAGGTGAGAAAGCTCGATTCAAGATGCCCAGCGTCAAGCTGCCCAAAGTCAAAGCTCCCCAGGTGCAGGTCAGCCTGCCAAAGGCCGAGGTCTCGCTGCCCAACGTCCAGGCCGAGGTCCAGGAGGGTCAAATTGTCCTGCAGGGCCCCGACTCCGAAGGCAGCCTGGAGGTGTCTCCTGGCAAAGTTGATGGCAGCGACATGAAAATATACATGCCAAAATTCAAGATGCCCAGCGTGGCCTTCTCCAAGCCGACTGTCAAGCCTCCCAAACTGGACGCAGACGTCAGCCTGCACAAAGTCGATGCCAGCCTCCCAGAGGCAGAACTCAAGGCCGGTGCCGTCAGTGTTGAGGCCCCCGAAATCAAGGTGCCCTCCGTTGAAGGCTCCCTCGAGATCCAGGCACCTGACATAGACCTCAAAGTGCCCTCTGCTGAAGGCTCGCTGGACGGGGCCGAGCTGGAAGACGCTGGCTTGAAGGGGAAGTTGAAGATACCCAGGTTCGACAAGCCCAAATTCGGAGTGTCGCTCCCCAAGGTGGAAGTGCCCGAAGGTGAGGTCAGCCTGCCCTCCGCAGAGATTGACCTCCCCTCTGCCACCATGACAGCCGCAGGGGAGACCCACGCGCTGGGCCTCAAAGCCGACGTCACTATGGAAGGGGCCGGCTGGAAGCTGGAGAAGCCCTCCCTCAAAATACCCAAGGCTGACATCAAAGCTCCCAAGGTGGACATCAGCCTCCCCTCCGTCGATGTCACCCTGCCAAAGGCCAGCGTGGAGATGCAGGCGCCCGAGGCGGCCCTCACCCTGGATGGGGAAGCCCAAGCCCCTGAGAAGGAGGCTGCAAAGACCAAGGACGGCAAGTTCAAGATGCCCAAGTTCGGCATGCCTTCCTTTGGCTGGTCCAGCAGCAAAGAGGCCAAGGGCACCGTGGCCGCTGACATGGACGTCAGCCTGAAGGAGCCCCAAGTGACGGTGACGTCGGGAACCACCGAAGTTGACGTGACCCTGCCCGGGGCCGAGATCCAAGCACCTGACATGGAGGTGACTGTCGGGATGGCCACCACAGGAGAAGGCGAGAAAGCTCGATTCAAGATGCCTGACGTCAAGATGCCCAGCGTCAAGCTGCCCAAAGTCAAAGCTCCCCAGGTGCAGGTCAGCCTGCCAAAGGCCGAGGTCTTGCTGCCCAAAGCCCAGGCTGAAGTCCAGGAGGGTGAAGTGGCTTTGCAGGACCCTGAAGCCGAAGGCAGCCTGGAGGTGTCTCCTGGCAAAGTTGAGGGTGGTTCCATGAAAATACACATGCCGAAAGTCAGGATGCCCAGCGTGGCCTTCTCCAAGCCAACCATCAAGTCTCCCAAAATGGACGCAGAAGTCAGCCTGCACAAAGTCGTCACCATCCTCCCAGAGGCAGAACTCAAGACTGGTGTCATCAGCGTTGAGGCCCCCAACATAAAGGTGCCCTCCGTTGAAGGGTCCCTTGAGATCCAGGCACCTGACATAGACCTCAAAGTGCCCTCTGCCGAAGGAGTAATAGACGGGGCCGAGGTGGAAGGCGCCAGCTTAAAGGGGAAGTTGAAGATGCCCAAGTTCCACAAGCCCAAATTCGGAGTGTCGCTCCCCAAAGAGGAAGTGCCCGAAGGTGAGGTCAGCCTGACCTCCGCAGAGGTTGACCTCCCCTCCGCCACCATGACAGCAGCAGGGGAGGGCCACGCGCTGGGCCTCAAAGCCGACGTCACTATGGAAGGGGCCGGCTGGAAGCTGGAGAAGCCCTCCCTCAAAATGCCCAAGGCTGACATCAAAGCTCCCAAGGTGGACATCAGCCTCCCCTCCGTCGATGTCACCCTGCCAAAGGCCAGCGTGGAGATGCAGGCGCCCGAGGCGGCCCTCACCCTGGATGGGGAAGCCCAAGCCCCTGAGAAGGAGGCTGCAAAGACCAAGGACGGCAAGTTCAAGATGCCCAAGTTCGGCATGCCTTCCTTTGGCTGGTCCAGCAGCAAAGAGGCCAAGGGCACCGTGGCCGCTGACATGGACGTCAGCCTGAAGGAGCCCCAAGTGACGGTGACGTCGGGAACCACCGAAGTTGACGTGACCCTGCCCGGGGCCGAGATCCAAGCACCTGACATGGAGGTGACTGTCGGGATGGCCACCACAGGAGAAGGCGAGAAAGCTCGATTCAAGATGCCTGACGTCAAGATGCCCAGCGTCAAGCTGCCCAAAGTCAAAGCTCCCCAGGTGCAGGTCAGCCTGCCAAAGGCCGAGGTCTCGCTGCCCAAAGCCCAGGCTGAAGTCCAGGAGGGTGAAGTGGCTTTGCAGGACCCCGAAGCCGAAGGCAGCCTGGAGGTTGCTCCTTGCAAAGTTGAGGGGGGTTCCATGAAAATACACATGCCGAAAGTCAAGATGCCCAGCGTGGCCTTCTCCAAGCCAACCGTCAAGTCTCCCAAAATGGACGCAGAAGTCAGCCTGCACAAAGTCGTCACCATCGTTCCAGAGGCAGAACTCAAGACGGGTGTCATCAGCGTTGAGGCCCCCAACATAAATGTGCCCTCCGTTGAAGGGTCCCTTGAGATCCAGGCACCTGACATAGACCTCAAAGTGCCCTCTGCCGAAGGAGTAATAGACGGGGCCGAGGTGGAAGGCGCCAGCTTAAAGGGGAAGTTGAAGATGCCCAAGTTCCACAAGCCCAAATTCGGAGTGTCGCTCCCCAAAGAGGAAGTGCCCGAAGGTGAGGTCAGCCTGACCTCCGCAGAGGTTGACCTCCCCTCCGCCACCATGACAGCAGCAGGGGAGGGCCACGCGCTGGGCCTCAAAGCCGATGTCACTATGGAAGGGGCCAGCTGGAAGCTGGAGAAGCCCTCCCTCAAAATGCCCAAGGCTGACATCAAAGCTCCCAAGGTGGACATCAGCCTCCCCTCCGTCGATGTCACCCTGCCAAAGACAAGTGTGGACCTGCAGTTGCCCGAGGCGGCCCTCACCCTGGATGGGGAAGCCAAAGCCCCTGAGAAGGAGGCCGCAAAGACCAAGGATGGCAAGTTCAAGATGCCCAAGTTCGGCATGCCTTCCTTTGGCTGGTCCAGCAGCAAAGAGGCCAAGAGCAAGGTGGCCGCTGACATGGACGTCAGCCTGAAGGAGCCCCAAGTGACAGTACCCTCGGGAACCACCGAAGTCGACGTGACACTGCCCAGCTCCGAGATCCAAACGCATGGCGTGGAGGTGAGCGTTGAGATGGCCGCCACAGGAGAAGGTGAGAAAGGTCGATTCAAGATGCCTGACGTCAAGCTGCCCAAAATCAAAGCTCCCCAGGTGCAGGTCAGCCTGCCAAAGGCCGAGGTCTTGCTGCCCAAAGCCCAGGCTGAAGTCCAGGAGGGCGAAATGGCCCTGCAGGGCCCCAAGGCCGAAGGCAGCCTGGAGGTTGCTGCCGGCAAAGTTGAGGGCAGCGGCATGAAACTACACATGCCGAAAGTCAAGGTGCCCAGCGTGGCCTTCTCCATGCCGACCGTCAAGTCTCCCAAAATGGACGCAGACGTCAGCCTGCACAAAGTCGACACCAGACTCCCAGAGGCAGACCTGAAGGCCGGTGCCATCAGCATTGAGGCCACCGACATCAAGGTGCCCTCCGTTGAAGGCTCACTTGAGATCCAGGCACCTGACATAGACCTCAAAGTGCCCCCTGCCGAAGGCTCGCTGGACGGGGCCGAGCTGGAAGGAGCCACCTTGAAAGGGAAGCTGAAGATGCCCAGGTTTGTCAAGCCCAAATTTGGAGTGTTGCTCCCCAAAGTGGAAGGGCCCGAAGGTGAGGTCAGCCTGCCCTCCGCAGAGGTTGACCTTCCCTCCACCACCGTGACAGCTGCAGGGGAGGGACCCACGCTGGGACTCAAAGCCGACGTCACTATGGAAGGGGCCGGTTGGAAGCTGGAGAAGCCCTCCCTCAAAATGCCCAAGGCTGACATCAAAGCTCCCAAGGTGGACATCAGCCTCCCCTCCGTCGATGTCACCCTGCCAAAGACCAGTGTGGACCTGCAGGCGCCCGAATTGGCCCTCACCCTGGAAGGGGAAGCCAAAGCCCCTGAGAAGGAGGCTGCAAAGACCAAGGATGGCAAGTTCAAGATGCCCAAGTTCGGCATGCCTTCCTTTGGCTGGTCGAGCAGCAAAGAGGCCAAGGGCACGGTGGCCGCTGACATGGACGTCAGCCTGAAGGAGCCCCAAGTGACAGTGCCCTCAGGAACCACGGAAGTCGACGTGACCCTACCCGGGGCCGAGATCCAAGCACACGGTGTGGAGGTGACTGTCGAGATGGCTGCCACAGGAGAAGGCGAGAAAGCTCGATTCAAGATGCCCGACGTCAAGCTGCCCAAAGTCAAAGCTCCCCAGGTGCAGGTCAGCCTGCCAAAGGCCGAGGTCTCGCTGCCCAACGTCCAGGCCGAGGTCCAGGAGGGTCAAATTGCCCTGCATGGCCCCGACTCCGAAGGTAGCCTGGAGGTGTCTCCTGGCAAAGTTGATGGCATCGACATGAAAATACACATGCCAAAATTCAAGATGCCCAGCGTGGCCTTCTCCAAGCCGACCGTCAAGTCTCCCAAACTGGACGCAGACGTCAGCCTGCACAAAGTCGATGCCAGCCTCCCAGAGGCAGAACTCAAGGCTGGTGCCGTCAGTGTTGAGGCCCCCGAAATCAAGGTGCCCTCCGTTGAAGACTCCCTCGAGATCCAGGCACCTGACATAGACCTCAAAGTGCCCTCTGCTGAAGGCTCGCTGGACGGGGCCGAGCTGGAAGGCGCCGGCTTGAAGGGGAAGCTGAAGATGCCCAGGTTTGACAAGCCCAAATTCGGAGTGTCGCTCCCCAAGGTGGAAGTGCCCGAAGGTGAGGTCAGCCTGACCTCCGCAGAGGTTGACCCTCCCTCCGCCACCATGACAGCATCAGGGGAGGGACCCACGCTGGGACTCAAAGCTGACGTCACTATGGAAGGGGCCGGCTGGAAGCTGGAGAAGCCCTCCCTCAAAATGCCCAAGGCTGACATCAAAGCTCCCAAGGTGGACATCAGCCTCCCCTCCGTCGATGTCACCATGCCAAAGGCCAGTGTGGAGATGCAGGCGCCCGAGGCGGCCCTCACCCTGGATGGGGAAGCCAAAGCCCCTGAGAAGGAGGCTGCAAAGACCAAGGATGGCAAGTTCAAGATGCCCAAGTTCGGCATGCCTTCCTTTGGCTGGTCCAGCAGCAAAGAGGCCAAGGGCACCGTGGCCGCTAATATGGACGTCAGCCTGAAGGAGCCCCAAGTGACAGTGCCCTCAGGATCCACCGAAGTCGATGTGACCCTGCCTGGGGCCGAGATCCAAGCACCCGGCTTGGAGGTGACCATTGAGACGGCCGCCACAGGAGACGGCGAAAAAGCTCGATTCAAGATGCCCAGCGTCAAGCTGCCCAAAGTCAAAGCTCCCCAGGTGCAGGTCAGCCTGCCAAAGGCCGAGGTCTCGCTGCCCAAAGCCCAAGCTGAAGTCCGGAAGGGTGAAGTCGCCCTGCAGGGTCCCGAGGCTGAAGGCAGCCTGGAGGTTGCTCCTGGCAAAGTTGAGGGTGGTAGCATGAAACTACACATGCCGAAAGTCAAGGTGCCCAGCGTGGCCTTCTCCAAGCCAACCATCAAGGCTCCCAAACTTGACGCAGACCTCAGCCTATACAAAGTCGATGGCAGCCTCCCAGAGGCAGACCTCAAGGCCGGTGCTGTCAGCACTGAGGCCCCGGAAATCAAAGTACCCTCCGTCGAAGGCTCCTTCGACATCCAGGCACCTGACATAGACCTCAAAGTGCCCTCTGCCGAAGGCTCGCTAGATGGTGCCGAGCTGGAAGGTGCCGGCTTGAAGGGGAAGTTGAAGATGCCCAGGTTCGACAAGCCCAAATTCGGAGTGTCGCTCCCCAAGGTGGAAGTGCCCGAAGGTGAGGTCAGCCTGACCTCCGCAGAGGTTGACCTTCCCTCCGCCACCATGACAGCAGCAGATGAGGGCCCCGTGCTCAGTGTCAAAGCCGACATCAAAACTGAAGGGGCCTGTTGGAACCTGGAGAAGCCCTCCCTCAAAATGCCCAAGGCTGACATCAAAGCTCCCAAGGTGGACATCAGCCTCCCCTCCGTCGATATCACCCTGCCAAAGGCCAGTGTGGACCTGCAGGCGCCCGAGGTGGCCCTCACCCTGGATGGGGAAGCCAAAGCCCCCGAGAAGGAGGCTGCAAAGACCAAGGACGGCAAGTTCAAGATGCCCAAGTTCGGCATGCCTTCCTTTGGCTGGTCCAGCAGTAAAGAGGCCAAGGGCCCCGTGGCCGCTGACATGGACGTCAGCCTGAAGGAGCCCCAAGTGACGGTGCCTATGGGAACCGCCAAAGTTGATGTGACCCTGCCCGGTGTCGAGGTCCAAGCGCCCGGCGTAGAGCTTGCTTTCGATTCTTCCTCCCTAAAAGAGGATGATTCTGGTAAACCTAAAACTTCTCTCTTTAGAATTCCTACTGTTTCCCTTTCTAGAAGTTCTAAATCTCAGGCACAGAGTAAATCTGGAGATGAATTTTCTGTGTCAGAAGCGCTTTGTTATTCTTTAACAGAGGAAAGTCCAGCTGTACTTTCAGGTGGTGTCAGCTCTAACGTTCTTCAGGATATTAAGGGAGACAGTGGCTCTAAAACTACTAAGTTCAGTATTCCTAGCTTGGGTTTCTCCAAAGTTGACATTGGTTCTTCTAAAATTGAACGGGATTCCCATTTACCAAAAGGGGATATTATTCTTACTAAGTATCAAAAAAATGTGGTAGAACCACAATCAAAAATATCATCTCTTGCTGATAAGGTTCTTTCAGAACATGATTTTGAAATTTTAAATGAAGATGGTTCTTTGGAGCAAGGAAATCTGACGTCAGGAGAGAAAACTTCAGCTGCTGACATATCTGTGGGTGACACAGAGATTACAGTTAAAATTCCTAAATTCCGAAAACCAAAATTTGGAATTTCTTGGTCTAAGGGAAAACCATCAGAATGTATTGTTGGTTCCAAAGTTGAATATGACATTTCCCAGGGAAGGATAACATCTGATATGACTTATACTGATACTGACAAACAATCTCAGATCTCTAATGCTGAGTTAGATGTGTTGATGCACGAGCCTTCACCTGAATTTGGTCTGGATGCACCAACTCTGGATGTCAGTCTCCCATCAATGGAAGTTACCATGCCAAAATTAGAAGCAGAAATCCATGGCCCAGATTTAGAATGCAAGACAGAGCAAGAAGTAGTTTCAGGAGAGAAGGACACTGAGGAGAAAGAAAACAAAATTAAAACATCAAAATTCAAACTTCCTTCATTTAGTTGGTCACCAAAGAAAGAAGCTATTGCTCCTTCTGAAGTTGAGGGACATCTGGAAGAACCCACTTTGTCTACTTCATCTGGAGACACAGAATCTGAATTAACACGTCCCACTCCTGAGAATAAATACCCTCATGGGGAATATGATACATCAACAGAAAAAGATGGTGAAAAGGGCAGAAACAAGAAGCCCCATTTTATCATGCCAAAGATCTCATTCCCTAAAATTAAGGGTCAAAAAGTCCAGGTCTCTCTGCCCATACTGGAAACTGACATTTGTGGTCCCAAACAAGAAAAAGAATGTGTTTCAGTACAGAAATCTGAGAAAGGGAGTAGTGGCGAACAGGCAGGAATGGGCATAAAAATGCCAAAAGATACAGTCCCTACTTTGGAATTTTCCAAACCAGAAGTCAAAGCTCCCAAAATAGAGATGGATATTAGGATGCCTACAGGTGAGGTCATACTTCCTACACGTGAAGAAGATGACCTGACATTGAAATCAGCTGCTGCTAATGCCAGCCTCTCCACCTCACCTATTAAGATGTTAACTGAAGGCTCTCTTGAGGTGAAGAGTCCTGACGGAAATGTTGAAAGAAAATCAAATGAAATTGCTGTTGGTGATGTAGAAATAAAAATTGAAGGTCCTGAAGGGAAAACAAAAATGTCTAAATTCCAAATGCCAAAGTTTGGAATTACACATTCAAAAGGGAAAGGGTCAGAAAAAGAAGTTAGCCAATCCAAACCAGAAGTCAAGGTTCCCCAACTAAAAGCAATGATAGAAATAGCTGACATTGCTGTTGAAGCACCAAATTTGGAGGTGGAATATGGTACAGGAACAGAAACTTACAGCCCTGAAGTCAAAATAACCAAAGATGATAATAAGGCATCAGAGGCTGATGTTCACCTCCCATCAGCTGACATTTCTATTCCAAAACCAGACAGTGATAGTCATGATTCAGATGCAGCACTAAAAATGAAAGGGGAAATAAAGCAAGATGGAGATGGAGAAGAAAAAGAAGGACATTTCAAAATGCCAAAATTTAAAATGCCATCCTTCAGTTGGTCACCAAAGAAAGAAGCAAGTGTTAAACTGGATTCTGGAGCAAATTTGGAAGATCATAAACTTGCTCTAATGTCAGGCCCAATAGACTCAGAAGTGAGAGGAACTGCAACTGATGATCAAGATACTGGGCCAGCCCTTGATCTGGAAATATCTGCAGGAAAAGTTGAACAAAAAAGTCCAATTAAAAAGCCCCAATTTGTCATGCCTAAAATTTCGCTCTCCAAGATCAAGGTTCCCAAATCTCAGACTCATTCACCAAAAGTTGAAGCTGATACTACTGTTCCTAAAACAGAAAGAGAGGGTGATGATTCAATACAGATACCTGATATAGAAAGTAGTCATTCTGAAAGAACAGAAGGGGCACAAATAAGCATAAAACTGGCTGATGTTAAGATCCCCACTCTGGAGTTTTCCAAAATGGAAACTGGAGCTGCTCAAACTGAAATGGCAGTCAGCTCAGCAAAGATTGATGCTGCTCTGCCTCCCCCAGAGGGGAGTTTTCAACAGGTTGTCCTACAATCAAGTTCTACTGATGAAGATACCCTTCAAAAAACAGGTATTAAGTTCACCAAAGGAGAAGCTTCAACTGAACTGAGGAGCCCTGAAATAGTAACAGAAAGATCATCAGTTGTGGGTGGAAGAAAGATGAAGTTGGAAGGTCCTGAAGGGAAGATTAAAATGCCCAAATTTCAGAAGCCGAAGTTTGGACTCTCCCTAACAAAAGGGAAAGGCCCAGAGCCAGAGATCAGCTCTCCAAAAATAGAAGCTGAGCTACCCCAGATGAAAACAACAAATGAAATTGCTGACATTTCTGTGGGAATTCCAGCACCAGAACTTACATCTGATATGTCAGACCCAGGAGTAAGTGTTTCTAAGATAAAAACACCCCAAGTTCTGACAGCTGACGTTGAAGCTCCGAAGGTAGACATAAGCCCTCAGTCAGGGTCTAAACCAATGGCAGAGGGAGCTATTGAGAGCCTTGAGGAGAAAGAAATCAAATTTAAAAAAGAACAAGAAATAAAAGCTGAAGAAGTTCAGACTGAAGAACACCAGGGATGGTTTAAAATGCCAAAATTTAGAATACCTACATTTGGCAGAACATCCTTAAAGGAAAAAAAAGGTGCTGATATTGAAAGAAGTATGGAAAAATCTCAGGCAGGCATTCCCTCTGCCAAAGTACAAACTGAAACAAGTATTGCTGAAAATGCCTTCTCATTACCACATGCAGTTGCTGACATTACTATTGGAAAAGAAGGGATTCCAAAAGTAGGAGATTCTGTGAAGAGTTCTGATGTTAGCTTGTCAAAGATAGAAGGAGATATTTCATTATCTACAGAAAAAACATATAGAGTGAATATTCCTGAAACTTACGCAGACATAGTTAAGCATGGTGCTGAAGGACAAAAAATGCATACTTCAGAATTCATAGTGTCTTCTGCAGAATTGTCTAAATCATACTTAAGTGCTTCAGAAACTGACAAAGACAACAGTCTAACGGATAGGTTTCCTACTTGTACTCTGACCCTTCAAGAGCATAAAGTCAAATCACAGGTTGTAGAAGTCCCAAAGGTAGAAAGTTCCACTAAGTTAGAGACTTCAGGAGCAGGATGTAAACCGTCATCAGCTGAAATTTCTCTGGATGCAACACAGGACAAAATAGATGTTAGTCTTTCAGCAGGAGAGCTAGATATTCAAAATCAAGAGGCAGTAATTAAAAAAGGAAAGATAAAGGGTGAGATGAAAATGATAGGAAAAGACAGTGAAGGAAGCCAATTAAAAAGGCCTACATGTGAATGGTCTACAACAAAAGGATCGGAAAATGGTGCTTATGTTACAGCTAAGCTGGAAGATCTAAAGGTGGAAGTTCCAGGAGTAAAGGTGGATGTTAGAATTGCTAGAGTAGATCCTGAAATTAAATATCAAGTGAAAAGTGTTGAAAAGGACAAGTCTGCAGGGGTGGAAGTGCAAGTAGAAGATAGAGCAGAAACAAGTAAAATTAAAACATACAAGTATAAGATTCCAAAGTTCGGAGTGTTGCATTCAGAAGTGAAGGATTTTGAAGGTGATATCAATTTGCCAAAGTCAGAATCTGATTCGGTATCTAAAACTGAAATAGGCACAACAGAAATGCAGTTTCAAAAACCAGAAGGATCTATTGGCCTGAAAATTCCAACTCTAGATCATATGGAAACATCTGCTGGAATAACAGCAGAAACAGTGGACAAATCACAAGGTTGCCCAGAAGTAAATATAAAAATTCCCAAACTAAAAATACCAAGATTCACTTTCAGAGTTCTCCCAATTGAAGCTGATGTTTCCGTGTCAAAAGTGGTAACAGATCCAAAGGGATCTAGTACTGACATTGAAGTAGTGCAACTGCAAGAAAGCTCTGCTATCCCTGAACAAACACTAGAGGCTCTAGAGGGTGGTATCCAAAAAGCAAAAAGCAAAATTCTAACACTGACTGAACCTAACATTAAAACAGCACAGATGACTACTACCGTAGAGTCCTCCCCTTCAAATGCAGGGCAAGACATTCAGTGGTCGTATGTAGAAGGCCAAGAAGTGAGTGAGAAAGTAGAACCTGAACATGTCGCTATTGAAAGGTGTGAGATTTACACTACTGAAATACTGAAAGAATCAGAGATTCTCTCATCAGAAGTCAAAACTGCTACTTTGGGATTCTCACTGCTCAAGGTGAAATTGCCTGAATCACATAGCAACTTAGAGGTGCTAGTCCAGCAACCATCTTCAACAGAAGGTATACCAGTGAGCAAACCTAAATGTGCCGATGAAAGCCTCGGAGCACAGAGGACTGGCAGTGCTGAGCTTAAACTATCTGACCAACCACACAGTGAGGCTGAAGAATCTAGTGGAGAAGTAAGTTTGACAAAGTTAAAAACATTTCCTGGTGAAGTAAAACCTTCCAGTAAACTTGAAGAGAGTCTTCCTGATAGGTCACCAGAGGGAATAACTGCAGGTCCTCTCTCTAAAGATGAGGATGTAGCTGAAGCACTAGAAGATGAAGAAAAAGACATAACCAATGAAAAAGAAAAGACTGAGAGTAAAAGATCTCCTGGAAGATTCAAATTTTGGCTTCCAAGTATTGGCTTTTCATCTTCTGGTGATGAAACAAGCACAGATTCAAAAACAGAAGTAAAAAAATCAGTTCCAGAAGATGTGAAACCTGCTGACACGTCAGATAATGATTCTTCTAAGCAAACTGAAAAAACTGGATGGTTTAAATTTCCCAAGCTTGGTTTCACATCTCCTTCCAAAAAGGCTAAGACTGTTGACAAAGAAGAGATGGGTCAAAAAGAGGGAAGAATCTCAGATGAAGATAGCCCATCAGATAAACCTGATGTATTTTTTGATGCACAAGAAAGCTTATCACCTAAAGAAACAATGGAGGGTGAAAAAGTTGAAATTGATGGGGCCTCATCTCATGTTCCAGTTTCTCGAACTATCGTGACATCTTCGGCAAGAACTGAACTAATCTTGTTGGAAGAAGAAAAAGATAGTCAATCTGGTATTCCTGGAGATACAACCAAATGAATATTGTCTTTTCTCAACCCTCAATGACAACAAAATAATCCACATGTACAGAAAAGAATGTTTTCTTAATTTTCTAGTAACTGAAAATTAAACAAAACCCACAGCTGATATTCATGAAAATAGTCGATCAGAATTTACCACGTTTAAATTTTCAAGCTATGCTGTGCGCTAATAAAAGCACTGATTTCTTTGAACCTGCCCCACGGGCAACAATTACTGCAGGTACAGTGAAGCCCATAGTTTTAGCAAAGTCTGAAAAGATAACTGAACCATGAAATTAGACCATTGAAAGGCTCGATGATAGCAAAAGACTTGTTAAATAGGCTTCTCAAAACCACACTGATTATGTTTAGATTATAGATTATTTTCGGAATGGAGTATAAACTAATACTATGAGAACTATATTTACCTGTTTAGATTTTTGGACCTTTCTGACCTACTTTTCCTTTCTTATTAAAATATTTTTCTTTATGTCAGCGAAGATAATATGTATATTCCACAAACATTTTAAAATGCAAAATAAAATCAAAATACTAGTGTAGAGAGTCTAAAGCTTTACCTTTTCCTCTCTTATTTTTTTTTTTTATTATTGTGGTGGGTCATATTTAGCCTTAAAAGAACTTAAAAAAAACAGAATAAATTCAAGACCAAAAATCATATAACTACTTCACATTTTTAAAATACCAAAACAAAACATGTTGAGAATTGTGGATAAATAAATTTTAATGTATATATTTACTGGATAGTTAAATGCACAGAATGATCTGCCACACTGGTGGAATCGCCTCAAAGATTTTCTGGGAAAGGAGATGTATATAATTATTTGCTTCTTTGTTTATATTAATGCTTCTCTCAAGTACACAACAAAAACCAGAGTGCATATGTGACAGCCTTCACATGTATTAAAACACTGTCTGTATTCTTAACTCACAATAAACTCACCATATGAATAACTCCTCGAGTAGCATGAGTTACTGTTAGTGCTGGTAGAGTTTTCTGATTCTGAAAATACCAACTTAACTTGCAAAAGGTTTGAGTATTCCCCACTATCTGCTGAAGTGACAGCAGTTTCTAAATACAGTGGCCATGGAGACTTTTCACTCATTACAATCCGGAGTTTTATAGATTTCCATGTACAGACGTGCTTTTTACAGTACTTTTCTCAACCTGTATTTTCTTTCTTTGTGTTCTGCTTTGTACAGGGAAAGTAGACACAGCAAAATTTAGAAACTAAGTTGTAATGGAAGTGAGTGTACTTGGTTGTCTAATCATCTGTAGCTTGAGATGTTCTTCGTTTCTGTATCTTTGCAGTAGGCTCAAACATTCTAAAGAAAACTGCTAGCAGTTATTCTAAAGAGAACTCTAGTTCTCTATGAAGAGACTGTTCACATAAGTTAGACATGTATAATTTATTTAGATCATGTAGTATTTCCCTGAAGTTTCCCTAAGTATACAAGTCATTGTTCAATAGATCCAAAATTACCACATCAGACAGTAACAGCATATACCAGGTCTGCCGAAAACATTGTGATCAAAACAGAAAAATTAAGTCCGGAAAAAGGTGATGTATGTAATAAAGAACATCCCATTCTAACAGCAGCTCTTATCTGCCTGCAAAGCAGCCTTCACATAAAATGTTTCTCAAGGTAGCCTCCTTTTATTTAGACCCACAAATAAGAGTCCACCTAGGCAGTACTGCTTGTAGGAGTCTGTTGCAAAGGTGACAGAATTAAGACAATTAAAATTGAGCTCTGGGACAGCAATGACCACAGAGCAATAACCACTATGTTGTTTTTAAAAGATTAATTTAGTTAAGAGAAGAGTAGTACAGAAAAAGAAGTAGCAATAAAATCATCCTTCAGAGAGGCTACTGTCAGCTTTGAGAAAGGTGAAGGTTAGCAAAAAAACAACCAGGTTAACAAGGTATTACCCAGAGATCAAAAATGCGCAAGAAGCACAGACGGAAACCTGCAGAACATAAGATATTTTGTCAACAGGCTGATTCTGACCCCACTTGTATACTTGAGATGCTCAGATTGTTCTTTTAACTGTAGTTTCCTTGGCCACCTGCTACTTATTTTTTAACATCTGAAGAAGTGGGCTGTTCAGCTAAACATCTATGTACGGTCTGCAGCCAAACAAATATACAACTGTGATTTGACATGCAAAAGAAGGTATAAACGCATTAAAAAGAAAGACATTCCCAGCTCAGTAATTTCTTGCATTGTTAAGACATGAATACACGTCTGTTGGTTGAGTGTTTTGCTGTTCAATTTGAAGCAGGACCTCTGATATATCCTAAAGGCAAGACAGACAAAATTAATCCTGAATGATAATACATATGAAGAAGAAATGACTAGACTCGACTCGACTAGAACACAATAGTTCCATTTTGTTCTGTTCTAGTCCAACAGCGTGATCACTTTGAGGCTGACCAAAAGTTAAAGCATGGTATTAAGCGCATTGTCCAAATGCTCGCTGGCAGGCTTGGGGCATTGATCACCTCTCTAGGAAGCCCTCTCAGTAAAGAAATGCTTCCTAACATCAAGTCTGAACCTCCCTTGACACAGCTTTGAACATGTCCCATGTCTCATCACTGGATACCAGGGAGAAGAGGGAGAGGACGCCAGCACCTCCCTCTCCACTTTCCATCCTCAGGAGCTGCAGAGAGCAGAGGTCTGTGAGTCAGGGCCCATGACAGAAAAGCTATCTTCCGAGGATTATGGAGATACTTATGACTGTCAAGAGATCAAGTGTACATTGATAGAGCATAAATGGCAGATGAAAAGTTTTCTAGGTGCCTGGACAAAAGAAACAAAGGTATGATTTATCTGGAACAACTGGGAAAGGAAAATCTTGAGTAATAGGGGGAAAAAATCGAAAACAAAGAATACTAAAGCTTTTGGAACAAACTGATGGCTAATGAATGAAGCCAGGTCACTTGGTAGTCCTGTCAGAACTCAAACTTATGGAGCCATCTGGGTTCTGTCTTGCTGTCATCTGCAGTGCTGCCAGCAGTTCTGTAGCCGCAGGCACCGCACCAAACCAAGCGGTCTCAGAAATGAGACTGCCGAGGGGACAGTGCAGCAGTTCTGCATGAAAGCCATACAGACAAACTGGTTCACTGAAGCCGTACTCCATCATAGCACAGGTGCATGAGATGACCTGATCAGAGGAGAGTCTGCATGTTCAAGATCCAAACCAGCAACTTTTTCTAGACATGAATAAACAAATACTGAGAAAAATCTAAACTGCCTGAAATCAAGCTAGAGAATCTATCCAAGGATAATAAATAGATGCTAACTAATACTACTAGAGGGCCCAGCTTACATTTGGTACAGTCCTTAGCTTGAAGAAATCACAACCTAAATGAGACAAGCAACAGGTGGGTGGATAAGGGTTATTATTAACCCTGTTTCATAAATGGAAAAGTGCTAAGAGTCAAAATCTGGTTATAATTTACACTATATTCTACCTTTGTAATAGAGAACAAGTAAATTAGAATCAATCAAACAGTGAAAGGGCCTAAAGAGTCTCACAAGAAACCAGGAAAATAAACAAAAACTCCTCTTAGATCTAATTCATTGTCTTAATTGTAAACATCTCCTTTATATGTGGCAGAAAAACAATGCTGGTAAAGAAAATAAAAGAGCACTCCCATTAGCATCAATTTTTCCTTTATAAGATGAACCTTACCCCACACAAGTCTTACATTACCAGAAGACAAGTCTCCCAGCTTGCCCAGAAACTGTCCCACTGAACAATTTATCCAGCGCTGACAGGTTTGAGCTCAGGAGTAGAGGAGAAAGAAGTTTTCTTATTCCTGCAATACCTACTCCCACAAAAACCAGCGAAAACATAGCTTCGAGTGCCATCTAGAGGAGTGCCCTCCACTACAGAAAACAGTTTTGCTGGTTAAAGATGTAACTTCTCAAAAAGATTTTCCAACTGACCCACCATTCACATGTGCTCACTGCACTGGGAAAAAAAAATCTGTCCAATGTCGTTCTTGCATGCAAGTATTAATGCAGCACATGGTCAGATTATATTTGTTGGTACGGGATAATAAACCTGTGAAATGGAGCTAGGGAAAATCAGCTGGGGAGGTTCTACTTTGCCAGAAATTGTAATGAGTGATTGGAAATCTCAAAACGTTAAGCAGCCTCTAGAAAGGATATAGGGGAGGAGAGCACTAAAAGCACCTGCATCTTCCCCGTATGTTTGCACAAAATGTCCTCATTGCCTGTAGATGCAACTACACGTATAAAAATCTGCTTTAATAACAACAAGCATTGATTTGTAATGATGAATAAAACAATCCAAGGAATCTTGGAAGTGTCTGGAAAAAGCTAAGGAGCACCCTGGAAACCAAAAAAATACAAAATTTGTTGGGAATATCTCCAGAAGACGTGAGGAAAAGGTCTTTTTCGTGTGGGGATTTGTATGTATCCACAAAGTTATAAACCAGTCCACAGACAGACCATCACAGCGTGTCCCTTTGTCATTCTCAGCTCAGGGCAGGGATTCCAAAGCACCAAAACGTTTCCTCTGGGGGGTGGGGGGGTTACACCTTTATGGGGAAGCCTGTACTCCTGCGATGTTGTGTCTGTGCCGAGAGAGACGGCCTCAGAGCCTGCCAGGACGGGACTGAAGCCACGAGCTGCCCGACGCCTTTCGGGGCTGGAGGGGTCCGCTGCGCTTTCAGAGCTCGGAGACAGGCTGCCAGGCCAGGAGGTTAGCCTGACCCTTCTGCGGAGCCATACTCCCTCACCTCTGGGGTACATCAGTCTCGGAGCAAAAAGTTCACTTTGCAACTTCATTTCCAGCGTCAGACAAATGTGCACAGCTCTGGGGAGGTTCACAGAGCTCCAGCCCAGCATCACTCACACCGCTCTGCGGCTGGAGCTTTCCTTTTCTGTCAATTCTGAGAGTCACCCAGGGCAGAGCCCGCTACGCAGGGGTGGATAAAGACATAAAGCGCCAGATGGCTCAGGTCTGTGGTCCCTGCGTGGCTGCAGAGGAAAAGGCAGGCCAGAAACAACGCTGGTCAGGGCCAACACAAGGACAGCCCGAAAGGATCAAGGACGCTCTCCAAGCACTGCCCACAGTGCAGGTGGGATGCTTTGCCGCACCAGAACTCTTGCAGCAGCTTCGCCCCACTCTCCCCAACCGATCTGCTGCATGAGGCCAACGCACAGACATCCAAGCACCCCCAGACACTCAGGGGTCCGGGGCAGCTGAGCTGAAAGCTGGCCCCAAGATTTAAATCCCAGGCATTCAACTCTGACAGCTAGCCTCAACACTTAAATACAGGTATTTCTCTGTACCTCTAATTCCTATATTCTTTTATAAAACAGCCCTCACTATTGTAGGTGATTACTTACATGAGGCAAATCTTAAAGTGGCCAGGAGTTTATTAAAAATATACTTAAACAGATGCAAGTCAGCACTGTTAATGGAACATTAAGGTTGAAATAAGATAGCTTCCTAAGATAAAACAGCACCCCAACTGTGACCTGCGTCTCTGATGTATTAAGATCTGGTTGTATCTTCCCTGTTTGCTTTAATACCAGACAGCTTGTCACATAACATTGGATGCATTTCATTAACGGGGATGAGGTAATCGCACAAAAAAAAAAAAAAAAAAAAAAAAAAGTGTCACACACTGACTAATGGTTTTGCAGGTAGTCAGCCATGAAAAGTTCTCGCGTCATCGAGCAGTGTGGACACCGCGAGGAAGCGATTTCTCTGACAAAGACATGAAGAAGAAAGCTCCTTGTTTTACATGGAGAACAAGATTCAAAGATACTTTTTGTTTCTCTTTTAAATGTCTATTTCAATTCACTTCAGAGTCTGCCTCTCCAGTTACAGTCTTTCTGTCCCTGCACATCTTCCAGATTCACTGCATATTTGGAATTCCAGTCTCGCTCAAAAAGGTTTTTTAATTGTTCCT